GCCAACACCGTGATGCGCAGAGTGCCGTACGAGACCTCCTGAGTGAACGGGGACAGTTCCGGCAGGACATGGGCGCCACCCAGAAGTATGGCACTTGTTTACATTTTGAGCTCTTCTACTTTATCGTGCAGTTTCTGTTACTATGGTGGTTCTTTAGTGTTTCTACATTTAATAACTTATTAAACATATACTTCAGTAGCATTTCAAAATAGATGCCTAGGAGAGGGAGGAAGACTAAAAAAAATAGCAGATATGCTTCTTACATTCTTAATTGGGGAGAGAATTAGTTATATCTATAAGAGAAGCAATCCCTAGATTTCAAAGTCGTTTTTGGTTCTGTTTGTAGCACTTTTGTGTAATTTTTGGTGAAAACCAAAAAGTACACCTGTCTTTCCTTTGGAAAGAGATCTTTTTGATGACCATTCTACAGCATTAGAGCTTACGTTCACGTCCATCTGCTCCAGAACTATCAAAATTGATGGTCTTCCTTAAACATGCTTTGTGCTGCTGTATAATCGATTGATTGCAAATCGAATCAGTAAAGGCAAAGAGGAGCTTGTAGGGGAAATTGTAAGAATGAAAATAATGTATCAAAATACCAGACTTTGTAGGAGGCAAAGTAGTGTTTAAGAGGAAAATTTATAACTTTAAATATTTGTTTTAGAAAAGAAGATTGGTCTCATCGGTAACCTAAGCTTCCTCCTTAAACACAAAGAGCAAATTAAGCAAAAGAAGAAAACGGAAAGGATGAGAGCAGAAATAAGTGAACTAGAAAGCCAAATCCTGGTTCTGGGAAAAGATAAATTTTTCTTCTAAGTATAATTGGAGGCGGGGAGGGGGGTGGAGAAAGATACACATAACCCGTGTCAGGAATGAGAAGGAAGAGGGGTACACTACAGATTCTACAGACATAGAAAAGGTAACAAGGGTATGTTACGAACAACTCTGCCAATAAATTCAACAACTGAAACGAAATGGACAAACTCTTTACAAGGCACAAACTACCGAAGATAACCTAAAAAAGTGTAACCTATTAAAACGATTGTATTTGTAGTTAAACCCTTCCAGTAAACGCCAGGCCTAGATGGGTTTACTAGTGAATACAAGTAAACATCTAAGGAAGAAATAAAACCAAATTTACACAAACTTCTAGAGAATAGAGAAGTGGGGAACAATTTCACCTCATTGTATGAAGCTAGCATTATCTTGATACCAAAACCAGACAAAGACATTGCAAGAAAAGTATAGACCAATATCTCTCATGAATGTAGATGCAGAAATCCTTAACAGAACTTTAGTGAATCAAATCCACCAATGTACAGTCATGCGCTGAATAATGATGTTTTGGTCATAATGGACCCACAGTGGTCCATAAGATTACAATGGAGCTGAAAAATCCTGATCACCTAGCGACATGGTAGCCGTCATAAGGCTGCAGTGCAGTCGTTACACGCGTTTGAGGCGATGCTGGTGAAAACAAACTTACTGCGCTGCCTGTCACATGAAAGCCTAGCACGTGCAGTATGTACAGCCCACGTACTAGGTAGTGATCATAAGCGACTGTGTTACTGGTTTGGGTACTTACTCTACTGCACTTTTTATCATTTGAGAGTATACTTTTTTCACTTAGAAAAACGTTTGCCGTACGCTCTGCCAGCGGCAGCCTCATACATCTTGTGTCTCTTTTTGCATCATTTTCTCTCGTGCTTGAGTTGACCTCGGGGTGTTTTGTGCAGTCACCTGCTGTCCAGGCTTGCAGCCCAGGAGCAGTAGGCTGCACCGTAGCCCAGGTGCGCGGTAGGCTGTGTCACCCGGGTCTGGGTGAGTGTACTCAGAGATGTTCACACGTGACGAAAACGCCCAGGGACGCATTTCTCAGCACGTACCCCTGTCGTTAAGTGGTGCGTGACTGTATACAGATTTTTAGACATCGTGTCCAGGTAGGTTTTAGCCCAGCGATTTTAGGTTGGTATATCATTCAAAAATCAATTAATGTAACTCGCCATAAAAAGAAATACCATATAACTATCTTAGTAGATGTACAAATCAAATCAGTAGTTCTGTACTACTAAATGAGCAGCGTATTTATAGTATACTTAGAGCATACGAGCGTATTTTACCTCTGCTAAAATACAACAACTAAAAACAGATCTGTTCAACGATGTCCAGACAATAACCTAATAAACCGTTAGTGCTTTCTGTAGTCTAACTGATTTTACCAGACTTCCTGATTTATTAAACTCTGAAAGATAAGGGAGAAAGAAACTATGCTTTCAGAACTGTTTCAGACTTATTTAGTGTGGCCGATTCCCTGTTAACGCTCAGTGGCCCTGTGTGTCCTGCGCAGGTTACTGGAGGAGCTGCTCGTCTCCCTGCAGTGGGGAGAAGCGCAGACTTCCTGCCCGGGCGCCCAGCCCCGCAGCACGGCGGAACTGGCACTGATAAATCACAAGCTGGCAAAAGCAATACATGCGCATCTTCTGGGAAACGTCGGCACCAGTGGTCAGAAAAAGATTCTGTCAGCAGATGAATTCTGCAGCACCCCAGCAGAAAAAATGGCTGAAACGGTAAGATGCTTCTGTGACGCTCTGGAACGTTTACTGCTGTCCTGTTCTCCTGGAAAGTGCCTGGCGTTGGGAGGTGGGACATATGGGATCGAAACTCGATCTTATGCTAATGAGCTTGTGACCTGGGAGAAAATTATTTCCTCTTCTGAGCTTTAATTTTCTCAAGCAGTATTACTGTATTCATAAGGAGAAAAATGTAATTGTTTCAGGAAGGACCTATTTTTTAGCTACCGAATCACTGGTAATCCTCTTCTTGAGTTCATTTTGATATGCAAACTACTATGTAGAAGTTTTAATTTAGTAACCATGAGTAGGTAATAGATTACTTCTGCCCTAAGAAATGATGTCATTCCCACATGTAGATGTGAACGTGCAGACCTGGTGCCTGCAGATAGGCCGTGCGTCTCACGCCTCTGACATTCTTTTCCTTCTGCCTCCACTGTCCGTCCAGCACCTCGCAGCCTTTAAGAATCGGCCCGCCCTGCATCTCGCTGGCAACCTCGGTGTTCCTTCCCCCAGGCTTCCGTTACGTTCTGCACATACATTTATTATAGCCCTTTAACAAGTTATATTGCGATTGTTTGATTCTCCGTCTCCCAAACTATAAGCTCTTTAAGGGCGGGGACTACATCTTATGGTTCCTCAAGGTCTGGCATAATCCTTTGCACATAATAGGTACTCAGCTATTTACTAAGTGAATCACTACCTAAAACTAAACTCATCATCTTTATCTTTTCTGTTCACATTTTGTATTCGCTTTGCTGGGAAATTGTGTCACTGCCTACTGCAGTCGCTGCCAGTGGGACCTGGTATAGCTGACTTGCTCCTTCTTTCTTGAAACACTCTCTTCCTGTGGCTTATGGAAGCACCGCTTTTCATAGCTCCTCTAGAAATGCAGTGCCTACCTCCTCTGCTCCGTCACCCGCCCTCACGCGGTGATGGTTGGGAGACTATGAAGATGAGAAACAGAATCTGTGAGCCAGAGTCGCCATGTGTCCTTGCCCTTACTTGGAGAATTTTTTCAGCCCAAGAGTCCCTCCTGTTGTGGGTCTCAGTGAAGGAAACAGGAGGGAGAGAGCATGGCGTCCATGACACCCGAGGGACAAGAACACGGTGGTTAGCATAGTGTGTTCGTGGAAATTAGAAACAGAAATGACAAGCCATTTGTTTAATAAGTGATCGACAACTCTGAAACGAGATTTCAGCAGAAGAGTGAAGGTGGGATCCTGGTTCCACGCAGAGGCACGAAGGACTCAGGAAGGTCGTGGGCATGTGATGCAGTGGTTAAGGGTACGAACTGATCTCACTTAAGGTAGAACTGATGTCATCTTGTTTTCTGGTTTTCATCAATAGCCATTAGAGAACATTAATGTCTTCATTTTAAAAAAATAGGTACACTAGGTAATGTAATAACTAGACGTTAAATTTAGAGCTTTTCGAGGAAAGGGACACGTTCTCTAAGCAATCAGATTCACCACTCAGATGTTATGTGTATGGCAGTGACACATTAATGAATGGAACTTTATGGGTAGTTAGTTAGACATCAGTAAAACAAAGGGCATTTACAGTCCCTACTGGATACATCTGACATTACTTCTTATTTTCCTTAGGTTCTATGCATTTTGGACCCAGCTACCTGTACAGAACACTCACCTGATAATCCATTTTCTGAGTCTTCACCAACCACCTTGCTTGCTACGAAGAAAAATATTGGGCGATTTCATCCCTATACTAGATATGAAAACGTAACTTTCAATTGCTGCAGTCACTGCCAGGGAGAGCTGACTGTGCTTTAGCGTTCAGCATGCTGTTGGCATGCCACGGGCACCTGCTCGTCACCCACGAGGCTTTATTTGGGAGCGGGGATCACATACTGCTAGAAGTCATCTCACTTTCTCTTTAAATAATACATGTCCCCGGAGATGGTTCATATACTAGACTCCAGATTACCCTTTCTTAATAAATGTCTCAGGGTAAGAAAAGAATGAAACTGGGCAGGTCAGTTTCGAGAATGCTCTCAAGCATTACGTGATGCTTTTCCTAAAGGACTCTAAAAGGAAAAATTGGATACCGTTTAGGACCTAAGTTACCGTTTATCTTGCTATATATATTTATAGGAGCAGACTGAATTTAGTTTGATCAGAATCAAAGCCTGGTGCACTACAGCCGCGGGGCACGTGCAGCCGCGCCGTTCGCTGACTGGTCTGCAGCGGGTTTCTGCGGAGCAGCAGAGCTGAGGGAATGAAACACGGGCCGCAAAGCCTAAAATACTGTCTCGCCCTTCACAGAGCGTTTTCTGACCCCCCAGCTCTGAAGTCGTGACGGCTGGCAGGGCGCTGGGGGACGGAGTGTCCTTGCCCTTTTCAGGCTGCAAAGGAGGCTTATGAAACTACTATAGGTGAAGGGAAATCTTTTGAAAATAAATGCTGTATGATAGGAACCTCCATCCATTAATTTATATTATGTAATAGCTATTATTGTACAGTTTAGTTTGGGATGACGAAAAATTCTGGAAATGGAAAGTGGTGACGGTTGTACAATATAAATGCACTTAATGAATTGTCATTTTAAAAAATCAATTTTATATATATTTTACCAGAATAAAAAATAATGTATACCCTTGTAACTTCAAATTACAGTACAGTTCTGCAATGGTTGGTTTAAGAGTGTCTATAATAACTATAATAACAACAACAATAATAATTAACTGAACTAAACAGAATAAAAAAAGATCTCAAAACAGCAACCTAACATTATACCTTAAGAAACTAGAACAAGAAGAGCAAACGACCCAAAGCTAGCATAAGGAAGGAAATTAAAATTAGAGCAGAAATAAAATAGAGAATAGAAAAACAACAGAGTATCAAGGAAACCGAAAGTTGGTTTTTTGAAAGGATCCACTAAATAAACAAACTTTTATCCAGACTAAGAAAAGAAAAACATGCAAATAACATCAGAAATGAAAGTGGGGACATTATTACCAACTTCATATAAATAAACAACTGTACACCAACAAATTAAATACCCTAGATGAAATGGATAAATTCCTAGAAACACAAGAATTACCAAAAATGACTCAGAAAAACAAACTATGAACAACTATGACAAGGAAAGAGATTAAATCAGTTATTGAAAATCTCCCGACACCAAGAGTGAACTCGAATGTAAGCTGTGGGTGCTGTATAACAATCGTGTGTCACTGTAGGCTCACTGGTCGTAACCAGCACCACTCTGGTGAGGGATGGTGGTAGCTAGGGAGGTTGGGGAAGTGGGGGAGCAAGGGACATATGGAGACTACTTTCTGTTCAATTTTACTATGAACCTAAAACTTCTCTAAAAAATAAAGTCTGCTAAAAAAGAAAAACCTCCCCACAAAAGTCCAGACCAGAAAAGTTTCACTGGTGAATTCTACCAACTGTTTAAAGAATTAATATCAATATTTTCCATCTCTTCCAAAAAAATGAACGAAGAGGGAAAAGGGAACACTTTCTAATGCATCTGTGAGGCCAGTACTCCGATACCAAAGCCACACCAAGACCACAAGAAGAGCATCCTACAGACCAATATCTCATGAATATAGATGAAAAAAATGCTTGACGAAATACTAGCGAACTGACTGTAACAGCATAGTAAAGGAATTACACAGCTTGACCAGGTGGTATTTATCAAGGGAATGCAAGGTGGTTCAACACAAAATCAACCAATGTAATATAGCACATTAAAAGAACAAAGGAGATAAATCACAATCATTTCACTTGATGCAGAAAGAGCATTTGATAAAATCCAACATACTTTCATGATCAAAACATTCAGAAAAGAAGAGGAATAAGAAGAATAATTACACAGCTTGACCAGGTGGTATTTATCAAGGGAATGCAAGGTGGTTCAACACAAAATCAACCAATGTAATATAGCACATTAAAAGAACAAAGGAGATAAATCACAATCATTTCACTTGATGCAGAAAGAGCATTTGATAAAATCCAACATACTTTCATGATCAAAACATTCAGAAAAGAAGAAGAGGAATAAGAAGAATAGAAGAATAAGAATAGAACTTCCTCAACTTCATAAAGGGCATTTATGGAAAACCCACAGCTAACATCATCCCCAGTGGGGAAACACTACAAGCTTTTCTCCTAAGATCAAGAGCCAGACAAGGATGGCGACTCACCACTGCTATCCCACATATGCTCAAAGTTTCAGCCAGATTAATCAGTCAAGAAAAATAAAAGGAATCCAGTTTGGAAAGGAAGAAGTAAAACTATCTCTATTCGCAGATGATACTATCCTGTGTATAGAAAATTCCAAAGAATCCACACACCCAGAAAAATGTAGCACTACTAACACATTCAGCAAAGTCACTGGGTACAGTGTTAATGCACAAAAAATCATTTGTGTTTTGAGAACAGAATCCAAAAAGAAAATTATGAAAACATGTCCATTTGCAATTGAATCTGAAAGAATAAAATATCTTTGAATAAACTTAACCAAGGAGGCGAAAGACTGTACACGGAAAACTACAGAACGTTGCTGCACTAAATAAAAAGACATCCTGTGTTTATGGATTGGGAGACAGTATTAGTAAGAAAGCAATGCTACCCAAAGCAATCCCATCAAAACGCCAAACATTTTTGCAAAATGTTATGGAATATTTAAATGTCAAATCTGTTCTTATCTGTTATCTGTGTTTTCTCACTTTGGGTTAAGTGATTAAGGTACAAATGCCTAGGAGGCCAGAACCTGGTCTTCTGAAGCTTTAAGAGAACTCTGACAGTGATCCCCACTCTCCATCACACCTGCATGTTTACCTTGGTCTTCCACCCCTTAAAAGCTTATCCATGTGAAGGGTGCCAGTCTTCAACACAGCCGATTCTCACATCGTCTGAAATGTTTCACAAATGTCTACCAAAATGTAACTTTACGACATAACTGAGAGAAAGGATTTTGCAGCCACACAGGTCACTGAGCAAACTGCTCACCTCTTTAGTTTCCTCATCTGAAAAACAGGACTAATAGGTTTGTTCTACGCGTTACCTCAAATTACTTACGAAAAACATTTACGATACCAGACACATTATAAACTCTCAATAAGAGCTGGCTAATTTACATACCGAAAATAGCATTATGCATAATTGTTACCTTTTTTTTTTTAAAGAACACATGGAAGTAGGCTTATTTTTATTGCTTAGCTTGCCACATCTCTTTAAATTCAAAGCTGATATAAATAGGACTTTGTATAAGGCCCAGAGCCGGGCTTGCTTAAGAGGTCACTCCTGCCTTATGAGATGTTCTACTGAAAATTTTTAAATGATAATAGAAACTAAGAATAGAAATATGTCCCTTTCTTGTGTTCTTTCTAGCTAGAAATGTTAAAATATTTTAGAAGTAAAGGAATGTAGAGTTCATTTGTGGTTCAGTTTGTTGCGTGGACTAAGAGATGATTCCAACACTGCAAGAGAAGAAATTTATTTTGGTCTAGTTTTTAAGTAAAGATAAATTCATTGTCAACATCACCAAAATCTGCGCACCATTTCCTTAACTTACAGCATGCCCAAAGCGCACAGGCCATAAAAAACGATATCCAAAATGTGGAGGATTGCAGCTTCAAAAGGAGTATTTAATAGATACCTTCAGTTGTAATGATCAGTAAAACGAAAAGCTCTGGCTTCTGCCATGTTGCACAGCTGACTCTGTAACTGTTTAGAATGCTTTGCTTCTAGTCGGAGCTGTCTAGCTCTTTCTTTGACGACTTGCTGCTCTACTAGTTTTTCTATCCTTTTCCTTCTTAGCCATCTGTAGAAAGAGACAGTATCAGATCTGGTGAGTATCAACCTGAATATACTCTTCAGGCTATAAAGTTATTACTATAGACAAAGGAAATTTAATTTCTTTACATTGAAATGCTATAGTCACAAAAATTACTAAAATATTAAATGAAAAATGTCAGGCTTATACCCTAGGTTCACACAAGAAAGTATATTTGGTATCAAGTGTTTGAAATTAGGTTTGTCTTATAATGAAATTGCCAACATAACTGGGGTTTGTTTTTTTTTTCACCTGGAAAATGGTTATGGGCTAGATACAGATGAGATCATTAATGAAAATAGGCAAATAGCAGAACAGTTTATAAGTATGATCTCAGTTTCTATTTTTAAATTACAAGTGCACAGAAATATCTAGAAGACATGCACTAAGGCCCTAACAGCAGTGATTTCTGGATGACAATGTGACTTGCCTCACCCATCTCCACAATGCACACTCACTGCTTCGATAACAAAGGGTAATATATTTTTTTAAAAAAAAAAGGGAAAAATATATAACAACAACAACAACAAAACGTATAAAAGAAAGAAACTTAAGACAACAGGATTCTACTGACTCCCTCCCCGCATCGAGGCTTGCTGGCGAAATTATGAAACCCAGTCTGTTTCCTCAGAATGAGCCAGGTAAGCCAGGTCTTACCCACATCACTGAAAAGAGATCGGGCTTGCCTTAAATGACCAAAATATGTGCCCAAATCTCCTTTCACTGGGTCTACGCAGATCCCTCTCCTCAGCCTGCCTGCCTTTCTTGACAGAAAAATATTCCTTGGTTAATGCAACTCCTTATTCGGTTTTTCTGAGACTGGCTGTATGTAACTAATCTTTGCCCCATTTCTCTAAGAAATGAGCAAATGTACAAATGAATACATAAATGTACAAATGAATACATAAATGTACAAATGAATACATACAGCAATGAAATATTTTGTTGTTTTTCCCCAAGCTTCACTGATTACACATCTTCCGAAAATGGCCTGGCGGAAGCAGGCGGCGCCCTGCCTTTGACTTACTGTTTGAAGGCCCTTTCCCGGCCTTCCGTCCCTCTGAGGAAGAATAAGCACTCCTCTTGCTTGCGCAGTTCTTCTGTCTTCCTTTCTTTCAACTGCTCTTCGTGCTTCTTTTTAAGCCATAATCGGAAAGCTTGTTGTGGATCTCTGTTCCCCTGCTAATTACACAAACAAGATTCTCTTAATTTAAATAAATGGAAAATGACTTTTGAAGGCCCTGCCTGGAAGACCCTACGAGAACACACGTCTCACTCATCGCTGCTTCATCGTGACGCCAGTCTCATTACCTGCACTCCTAGTGTCCAAACCGCCACACGGCTACCTAAACAGAACGTAGAATCAGTGCTTCCGTCACACCAGCTACGCCCACGTGCCTAACAGCCACACGATGGCCCGTGGCTACCTCGTCGGGCGGCTGAGGTAGAGAAGAACATTTCCATCATCACAGAAAGTGCTTCCAGACGGGAGGATAAAAAGAGGTGATCGATCGATCGATCGACTGATAAACCGCCACACGGCTACCTAAACAGAACGTAGAATCAGTGCTTCCGTCACACCAGCTACGCCCACGTGCCTAACAGCCACACGATGGCCCGTGGCTACCTCGTCGGGCGGCTGAGGTAGAGAAGAACATTTCCATCATCACAGAAAGTGCTTCCAGACGGGAGGATAAAAAGAGGTGATCGATCGATCGATCAATCGATCGATCTGTCAGATTCAAAGAAAAGTGTGGTAAGGAGATAAAGCACTAAAGGGAAGGCGACGAGAAAGGATGGTATTTAGGTAGAAGGTGAGAGTTCGTGACGAGACATCTGGAGGAGGAGTATGTCGAGCGGTGACAGTAAGAGCGAAGGACCTGAGAAGGGCTTGTGATTTGCACATTCAGTGTGATAGGAGAGCTCAGGGTCGAACACCAGCCACAACTCATAAACATTACTCCGAGTGACAAGGCAGATGAACTGACCGAACCAGAACGTGAATTTCCGTGAATACAGTCAGCTGTCACACCTGCAGCGGGAAGCGACTTTCCGTGCAGCAGTGTTACTCACCCTACTGTTCATGTCTTCGATTTGCTTCGCTCTCTGGACTCTCTTCATCTCCACGACCTGCTCCTTCTTCTTTCGCAGCCACGCTTTGAACACCATCTCATTCTCCTTTTTCTTCTCTTTCTCTTCTTCTAAATAGATTAGGTAGATAGATGGATGATCGATGACAGATAGGTGACAGATAGCAAGCAAAGAAGTCAAAATGAAAAGGTCAAAGGTGCTGGAGCATGGAGACGACGCCTGAGGGAAGCAACAGCACCGGCGCCCGCCCCAGGCTCCAGTCGGACCCGCGGCTCTCGTTTTGAGATGAGGAGCCACTGGAGGGTGCGAGGCATAGCTGACACACTCTCTTCCCCATTTTCGAAGGCTCGCTCTGGCTGCTCTGTGGAAAGAGGATGGAGTTAGGGGCGGCCAGGTGGAAGGAAGGAGACCAGCGTCAGCCTTTCCTGACAGTCAGGCGACAGATGGCAGCGGTTTGGACTACGCTGGTGGAGTCTGGACACACTGTGAAGACAGAACTGACACAATGGGCACAAAGACTGAATGCAGTTTTATATCATGCTTTAAATGACTGTGTTTTTTAAATTTTTTCAGGACTTCCTTTTACAGTTGTATAAATCCAACCATAGGAAATCAAATACTTCTTTCTGCATTACAAAAAAAATGAAATAAAAAACAAAAGGAAAAAATTAATGCAGTGGAGCTCTCAAAGAACTAGTTTTCACAATGCACAGAGTCCCCACGTATCAAAAAGGAAGACCCAATATCCCTAACAGGAAAGCTGACAAAGGATTTTTTTCTGAAAAGAAAATTCGAACAGCGCTAGACATTCAATCTTGCTGAAAATAACACTCCAATCAATATTTCCTACCTATCAGACTGGTAAAAATAAAAACCCAGGAAAGCACACTTAATGCAGGTGTGGGGGATATTGTGTGTGTGTGTGTGTGTGTGTATGTGTGTGTGCGTGCGCGTGCGTGTGTGCTATCTCCGTCCTATCTGAATATCAAACTCATTCTATACTATCCTGAAAAAATCGGTCATTTTCCATTTTCAATGCTATAAAACTTCGATCTTTACAGGGCGTCTCAGGATGTCCCTGTGAAGTCATCCGCGGGCTGCGTTTTTTGCAGGGGCAGTTCCCAGACCACTCTTCCTACTTCGCCCATCAGTTCTCAGCCTGGCATTCAGGCTCCTTTCCGTGAATACAGTCAGCTGTCACACCTGCAGCGGGAAGCGACTTTCCGTGCAGCAGTGTTACTCACCCTACTGTTCATGTCTTCGATTTGCTTCGCTCTCTGGACTCTCTTCATCTCCACGACCTGCTCCTTCTTCTTTCGCAGCCACGCTTTGAACACCATCTCATTCTCCTTTTTCTTCTCTTTCTCTTCTTCCATTTTCCGTTGCTCTTCCTGGGGGAAAGAATATCGAAAGGCATGAATGCAAGACTGAAAAATCGTATACGAGTTAGAGTACAGAGAGAGAGTTTGAGATCTGAAATTAGAATTCCGTGCTCCTAAAACTTGCCGTCTAAAAATTGGGAATCCTTTAAAAAAACAAGGCCTCTAATTTGCTTAGGGAGAAAAATGAAGATTTTTTTTTTTCCAGAGAAACTGTGACGATAAGTCTGCAATCACGTAGGTGTAACGTACCTACGTACTATTCAGGGATTTCCTGGATATCTCCTTTGCTTCCTAGTTTACTTTTGGCATTAAACTCCTTAAATTGCAGAAATATGCAAAAGAAAGAAAAAAACCACCACACTCCGGAAGCACTATACGGTCTCTACAAAAGCACTAACGATGTCTTAAACATTCTTAGACTACTGACAAATTTGTTAATTTTGCTAGGTGGCATTGTAGTTACAAAGGAAAATGCTATCATCACTTAGAGATGTATACTGAAGTGTGTGAGTGAGCGAGGATGCGCGTGCTGTCTGGGACTTGCTTTAAAAATACTTCAACCAAAAAGAGAGGAGACGAAGCTAATATGCCAAACTCTCAACGAATTTTGAATCTGGGTGATGAGAACGTAGGGGTTAGTTGTACCTTTACGTGTGTTTAAATTCTTTTATTATTATGCTTAAAAATATTTCAACTTGTGTATATTCATACAGTGATATTCTTTGCTATCAGAAGAATATTTAGACAATTAGTTAATAAAATGAATTGAATTTCTAAATAATAGAAATTTTATTTTAATAAAAATAAAATGAATTTCTTAATCTGAATTATTCAGCTAATATTGTAAAAGGGAGTCAGTTACTTAAACCAGAAGGGAGGTACTTAAACCAGTTAATGCAGAGCTATAAAATCGTCAGTGGGAGAAAAGCACACGTCAGAGTGGAAATAGCTAGAAGGCTGCAAACAAGTTGAATGACTTGATTAAAGTTATTTAAACTTTCTAGACTATAGTTTTCTCATGATCTTTATGGTTCCCTCTAACTGTAAAAGTCCACTAACCTGTGATTCTGCTGCGGTTCTGTATTTATAGTTAGATATCTTATATGGTTCAATACCATAAAGTATCCAGTAAGACAGAGAATCAGGGCACTGATTTAAATAATTTAGAAAACCCACCAGTTTTGGTACCTGGGGTTTTCAATTATAAAATACTTTTAAGAGCACAAGAAACGCTCAAAAATAATAATTTGGGATTCCATATGGCATTCTGGAGACATTTCATTGTTATTAAAATATTCTTAATCTAAAACTAAAATCCATGAAATCAAGGAATTGTAGGTATGGAACACACACACACACACACACACACACACACACACACACACACACGTCACAGAATTATAATCCGATTCTATCTGTTGCTTCCTAAACCCCAACACAGTTTTGCCTTCATTTTTCTATCTGACATCTGATTTTCACCTATCTCATATCAAGTTTACCTTTAGCAGTCACTTATTCTGAGTCTCACCATTAAAATGAACGGATCTGACGAAGCCGTCGCTGAGATCTACTCTAGCTCTAAGACAGCTCGTTCACTGCTGTGCTTGGCGAGCCTTACAAGAAAGGACCAAGGAAAGCTTGACGTTTGTTCCACAAATACACGTTCTTAACCTTTAACCACTTAATGTAACAACGGAAAAACGAAACAAGCAAGCAAATACATTAAGTACTTTGCAGCAGCATTTCAATTCCTGCTACACCCGCAAAACACGAAAACACGTTCCGCTGTGAGGAGAACGCGCTCTTGTGCCCTCACCTCTCTCTTGAGCTTTTCTCTCTTTTGTTCTAGCCGTTTCTGCAGCTCTTTCTGTCGCGTGGAAAGACAATAAGTCGAGGTCAATGGCGACACAATCGCAGACCGTGTCCTGTGGCCGGACCTCCTACTCCCCCTTCTTGGATCTGAGCTGACAGCGGAGTTTGGACAAGTCTTGGGGTTAGGTGGTGGCTGAGGGATAAAGGCCAGTGGCCCTTCTGTTGATAAGCCATTGGTCTTTGCTATAGGCTCTTCTCTCTTGACACTGTTGACAGATGAATTGGAAGATCTGGGTGACAACTGCTGAGATTCGTTTTCTTTACTATTAACATTATCCATGGGGGGCAAAACTCCCTGACTCTCAATGTCTTGTAAATTCAGAAGTTCAAATTTTCCGTCTCTCTCAACGAGTATCTTCCTATCCTTGTTTTCTTCACAATTTCCATCAAGTGACAGGAGCACATTTTCTTGTCCAAATTCATTGGAAATACATAGCTGTGACAGTTTTCCAGACATGTTACTTTCATTTTCAAAATAATTTTTGTAGTTATCAGTGTCTTCCAGGGGAGGAACTTCCAGGTCAACTAATTTGTCCTTGAACTTGAGTTTTCGCTCCCTTTTATCATTCACGGGTTCTTGATTCTGTAGAAGCTTGTTGGCCTGTATAATTTTCTCCATGATGTACCTCCTCACTTCCTCATCCTCGTCCTCCTCCAGGTCTTTCTGACTTTCCTGTTTGGATTCCTGGAAAGAGTTTTCACTATCTGAATCTGATATGGGATCCAAAGACTGAATACTCGGTACAGAAATGAAGTTACTTCTTCTTGGTGAAACCTCATCCTTCGAAGATCTGTCAGAATCAGAAAGCTCATTTGTGTGTTCTACTTCCGTTTCATTCTCTTTTAATTCTTGGTTAATATTCTCTTCATTCTCACAAGCCATCTAAAAAAAATAGAAATGAGGTTCTCTTTTTAGTAAAAATTGAGATACTTTGTCCATTTATATGTAGAAAATCTGAAATGGATTTTCATGTTCACGTAATTTATTGTATGAATGGGAAAATTTACATGCTTCTTGCTCAAATTTTACTCATAATATTCTAATTCATATTTATGAGCATCCAGGAGAAATATATGACAATAGCACTTCGGGAAAAAATGAACTCTAATTTCAAATTTGATGTTACTCAGTGCTATATTGATATTTAAAATTTTTTATGCTAATGCATGAAAAGGTAACTATAAATAATACAATATTATTTTAATATTCCTCCCTCTATAAAATTTTCCTCCCTTTACTTTTTCAGAAGAAAATTTTTTAAATGTTTTTTCCTTGTAATATTTGTGTTCTTCAAAACAGTGTCTTTCTCCCCAAGACCAATAAAGGTCACTGCCTTTGGTTAAGTCCTAATCATTTTGAGGTTCTTGTAATCTCTCCAGATTATTATTGCTGCTATTTTCTGCAGGACCTAAATCCGAATTCCAGATCAATTTTTATCTCTAGATCAGATTTTCTAAAAGAAAACCAATGTAAAAGACACTTTACTTTTTTCTCTGTATTCATTCCTCTGAAGAGCTAATTCTCCTAAGGTTTCAAATATTAGGTGAAAGGCCATGTTTTTTTATCTGCTTTATTTATCATTTAGTATATGTGCAGCCAAAGCAAGCACACTTTATTTTTCATTTATATTAAAAGTATAACCCCATGATTGTACCCAAGTTCATATAAAGTAGAAATTAACTGTATTCATTTTTACTTTTGATGCAATTGATTACATTACTTATGTAAATTATAATTTTTAAATTATAATTTAGCTTTAAGTGCTAACGTAATCCTGTTCTCTAATTAGCCCTTTGCCTTAGGATACAACGTTTAAACTCTATGCCTCAATTTTCTCATCTAAAAGATGGAAATAATGACACTTGTCCTATGTATATCAAAGAGATTTTGTGAGGTTGAGATAACATATATGAAACTCTTCAAGAATTATAAAGCACTTTAATGTCATTATGATAAATGGGGTTGTCAGTTTACACATACCTCTATTATGCTGGCACCATTTTTTTCTTTTTCATTAATTAACCATTCCAGGTCCTTTTCAAAGTCATCTTCATATTCTTCACTTTCTTTTGAATCGGTATCTTTATTTTCATCCATTTTCCGTGCGTTAAAGAGTAGCGCTGTAAGGTGAAGAGATAAGGTCCATGTTACGTCCACCTTAGGGGTAGTATGGAGTGTGAAGATCCATGTCGAAGGTAAGTCCAGTAACGCACGGACACACGAAGCACGGATCGTTCAGAGTAAGCACGAGCCTGCCTTCTCTGAGAGACCTGCATGGGCCAGGTGCTTCCTAGGCGTACCACTCTTAACCACCATGCCACTTCCCTGCAATTCCTGAAACCCGAATTTACAAGGAGACCAACAGAGGCAGCGGAGGAGACTATCTGAGGTTTCAAGGAAGATTTTCCACATTTCCTGCACGTCATCAAAACGCCATGTCCAGGCCAGAGCACATGACTTAGCGTCTCAGTCTCTCACTCATCTACATTTCCATATGTTCAAATAAAAACAACTATATCGATTTCCACCCTCAGTTTCTCAGTCCTCCGGTAATTTACATGGCATAAGTATCATTTGTGATCTGAGAACTCAGTAATAACTGATTGTCATTTACGTCAATGCTGATTGCCACAGAAGTCAAGCTGTCGTCCACTTTAAATAAAACTTTTTTTCATTAAAAAAGAAAGACTCTGATGCCAATAAATAGGGATGTCAGATGAAAGTTGATAAATATTTGTGAAAATGATATAAAAATTCAGAGAACTAAGCTAAAGTTATCTTTAAATTGAGGTCAGTTCCTGGCCCTGGTAATTTTTTTGCGCTTAATTTTTTTATCAAAAGAAGCATAGAAATCTTTATCTAGAATGTCTCTATATGTGTGTGAACTATATACATGTAAAATACAATTTTGGCAAACATTTGTTGAACACCTACGATATTTCTATATATTTCCCGACAAAGATTAGAGACCTTTGTGCTTGCAGTCTGGTAGAGAAGACAAACAAAGAAAAATAGATAAAAACATAAATAAAAATGTAGACAAATGTAATAAAGGTGTATATGAAGGACTGTGGAAGGAAGAAGCAAGCAAGCAATTAACTCATTCTAAAATCAGAAATATCAAGGAAAGCTGAGATGGGTTTTGGATGCTGAGTATGAATGTTCATGAGTCCCAGACAAAGAGAACAGCGTGAGGAAGAACGAACAAACAGGGAAGAGCAGGGAACTGTCCAGCATGGCCTGAACACACTTGTGTTCCTAAAGAAGGATCTGGGAGGAGTGAGAAGGTGTCAGTTTGATGTCCTATTATCTTTCCAAAAAGAAAAGGGTTGAGGGAAAGCTGTTTATTTAGATTTAATTGTCATGAAATAGCCAAATGTAGAACTCCATGGCAATAATCTCCATACTTCCCACTATTGACTTAAAAACAAAAGAAAGCCGTGCTCTCTAAATGTACATAGAATATTAGGTCCGGTTTCAAAAGAACAGTAAAAATCTGATCTTCAGGGCCCCAAATACCGAGGACCCTGTTCTTATACCTGCCTTCCTTTGCTCCTACAGTAAGAATAAGTTGCCTAAAACCTTTAGAAATAGAAAGTACAGATGTCAAGAACACATGAGACTTGGGCACATTTTTAAAGAAATAAAATGAGCGATATTATGCCTGAATTAATAAATTATCCACAAACCTTGTTCTGGCCATTAGCTTTACCTTACTCTCCCAAAACATTTGATCAGACTACCTGACCTGGCGCCCATTTTACTCAAGCAAGACATATTTTTTTCCTTCCACTGTTCACCACTGAATGATAGAAAAAGCATGTGGGAGAATGTCTTTCCACCAGCACGAGCTAAGTGATAGGGCTTTACGTGACTGCGTGTAAAACCATTTTAATAGGCTTCAGTGAACACTGAATGAGTTAAAAGAATAATGACGAGACTCAAAATGTCAGAGCTCCAAGGCTGAGACTGTGAAACCAAGAAACACATGACACCCTGTACCCCGTTTCCTGCACTACTATAGTTTAAAGAACAAAAGACAAGCAGGACTAATCCAGGGGCGAGAAACCAGGAGGAAGGAGGGTTCAAGAGAAGGAGAAGGGAAGAAGGTAGGTCATGAGGGTAAAATGCCTTCAATCTAGACTCTGAGGAGTCCTTCAGAGCCCTGGGAACGACAGCCCAGGGAAAACCCAGGCGAGTCGTGAGACTGCTTCACAGCATTTAGACCGCCGTCCCGTGAAGGAGCTTGGGCTTGAAGCACTTTGAGTAGCAAAACTAGTATCAAGGCTGGAAACTGAGGGGCAAATTTTGGCATAACGTAAGACAGAATTTACATTTCCACACTTGTCCTGAAGTGAAGTGCGATGCTTGTTGAGGTACTGTTGTTTCCCTTTCGAGGGAAATGTTTATACCTGTCACTGGGACAGTGAGGTGGCACATCTAGCCCAGAAGACGAGCCGGGCATGAATGTTTTAAGGAGACTAAGGCTTTAGAACGAAATGGTTGAGCTAGAGGACCCTAAGGTTTCTTCTACCCTTTTCTATAAGATGCAAATTAGCGAAGAACTGCCAACTTACGAAAAGCAAGAGAATTTAAAAAGCAAATGCATAGTGCCATGATAAAGCATATCTAAAATAAATAATCAGTGTCTGAATAACTAAATTCAAGATTTAAAAGCATTCCGAGGTCTGTTTCATTTAAATGTCATCTTGCCTTTGGGTAGTTCTTACTAGTAATTTCCTTACCCTTTCAAGACAAAGTTAATTTTAGGTACACTGAAATGTTAATTATTCAACTGGATAAGTATAACTATCTCTAATGTCTCAGTTGGACTATAATTCCTTCTAGATATTTATTTCCTTTAAAAATACGAAATGGACTTTCTTAAAGGACTCAAAGTAAGGCTGTAAGATGAAGAGATAACGTCCATGTTACTCAAAGTAATAATTTGTAAATCAGATGTTGACAGCAATAATATTTTGAGGTGACCTAGAGAAACCAAATAGGTATATCAGAGTAAGTTTATTGACCACTGTAAGATGGGCCAAATCACGTAAGCTGTTATGTCTACTTACTTACCAATTAAAACAAGAGTGTCAGGAATCGTGTGGAATAAACTAAAACTCACTGTGATCCAAAATACGTATATAAATAATACTATTTTTTAGCAGTCACACATGCCCTAGGATAATTAGCTTTCTTTGCAGAGCAGGGATCCTGAAATTTACTATTTTAAGGTGGTTAAGTTACATAACTGTTAGAATAAGATTTCTATAGAACTCTTCAGTTCTTTCCCTTAATTTTATAATAAACATAGTACTGAACTTGTAAAAAGTAAATGTTTGCCTGAATGCTTTAGTAGACATGCTTTATTATTTACAGAGAATCTCGCCCATGTGAAAACTCAAATTTAAAAGCAAAACACTGCATCAGCATAATAAAAAAGAAAATGATTACCAGTTAAACATATTAAGTATTATTAAATCATATTACTAAGAAAGACAATCATAGTTGAAGTGACTCTGAGAAGTACGTGAGAAGTTGCATCAAATTTGAAGTACCATTCTGTTCCTGTAACTTCAAAAAGCTCATGGCTGGTTCCCAAGTAAACAAAGAACATAAAGCATAAACTCTTGTTACCAAGTCCCTTAAGCCTTTTTCAAATGCGTCACGGGATATTCAATCCCCTTCGGTTATTTTAATCTTCATCCTCAGGGTACTGGCCATATGGTACACAGTCAACATACTCGAATAAAAATATACCTTACACAAATGCGATCATCTAACACTTTTTCCTTGGGAGTTGCACATATTTAAATCTCAATGTTTATCATCAGTAAAAACCTATGTAACTGGCGTGGACCAGAACCACCTTCCTAATAGGGAACTGTTGTAAGAGACAGAAATTAATTCCTTCCTCCTGGGCGTCTGCTAAATTCCCTGTGGGTATGTGACTGCAGATCCTTCAGGCTGAGTCTAAGCTAAGTCCTTATCTATACACAATTCTGATAATTATCTTTCAGGATTCAGAACATTCAAATCTAATTCATTGACTCCAGTCTTATCTCATCACCTTTTAAACATGTTTAAAATATAATAAAATTGAAAGAATGTCAAAAGACAACGCCTCTTAATATAAAGGAAGTACTTAAGCAAAATCGAACTCATAATAACATCATGAGACCATCTGGCCCATTCTTCCTGCTCCGTCCAAGACTGTGGCTCCTGAGTAAATGGTGTTTCAAAAATTCATAATCTATTACCAAGTACGACGCCAAACAATATTTTACAAACATTAGGTGACCGTTTTCATTCGTATCCAAGGTCTCAAGGTATCACCGACTAAATGAACACCTTAGCCTCTTGGTGGAAGCTAACTAACGTTTTAAGAGCGAGGTGACTTTTCCTTCCTAGGGAGAACTTTGAGAGGGGAAAGCATATGACAGAAGGACAGACTGAGCCACCCCCAGAGGGGTTTCCCTCGTACGAAGCGAAATCAGGCTTCCCGCCAGCGCCAGGCTCCGAGCACCAGGGACTCGGAAGGATGTGGCGCCAACAGAAAGGCTCCTCCCTCTGGTCTTCTACCCCTTTCCTCCCAGCGGTCCGGTCCCAGACGGTTTCCCCTTTCCTCTCTCTCCCCATCAACGTCTCCGCACCATCCTTCCCTTCTCTCCCTCTACAGCCCCTCCTGCCTGGGTAAGATGCAGCGGCCGAGGTCACAGAGACGGCCCAGGGCGCTCGCCTCTCCTCCCCTTTCTAAGCTCTGACAACGAGGCGAGGGAGCCCCTCGGTACCGAGGCGGCCAGGACACGCTGCCATGGCAACGGCGCGCAGCCGCGTCCTCCATCCGGGCCTCTCTTACTGCGGGGCGCGGCGGGCGCGCGCAGGCGCAGACGGCAGCCTGGGACACCTGCTCCTCCAGGCGCGCCCCCTTCCGGGTGCTCGCGGGGCATCCGTTGGGCTGAGGTTTCCAAGGAAACGACCGAGGGCTCTGCGCATCGCCCACAGGTGTCTCGAGCGTTAGTGGGAACTGCCGAAGGTCAGTCTCCTCTCTGGGTTGTGAGTTTTCCCACGTGTACCTGTCTCTTGCCAGCTTTAGAACTTGTGGGAACATCTACAAGTATGTTTCGGTATATTATTTTCTTCGCTATTAAACGTCAAAAACTAGTTTCAGTTTTCCCTAGTGGATGAGCAAATTGCTAATTAGTTAGCAGATTTTTTGGTCCCAAAGTCTCCCCCTCCTGCCCCTCAATCAAAACCCAAACTTTATTTCCCAAGAGAGTGGTCAAGAATAAAAAGAAGATGTAAAATGGTGAACTAGAATGTTCTTAAATCCTTAAACGTCGTCTTTATGTATAAAGGGGAAGCAAAATGAATTTAGATTGCGGCGACAAATGACAGGATTTTACGACTGTCCATTTCCCACCAGAAATAAAGAAAAACGAGGAGAAAGGAAAATATTTACTCAGTACAATCCATAGTGTTCAGTTTATTTTTTAAAAATCGTTATTAGAATTTCAATTATTTTATATAATAGAACACCTTTTCTCCAAAAGAAGGGAAATATAAAATTGAATTTTTAGGTACTCTCCAAACTGTAAACAAAGTTTTTAAAAAAAGATCTAAGGTTAAATGAATTTCAATATCCAGTGCACTTCCTAGCGGCAGTATAGCATTTATAGTTGTAGTGACCTAATGTTTCTCCTGCTGCAGGATCAGGCTGAGGCCACACACTAGAAAAAGGCAAAAATATATAGCATTATTGACTATGAAAGGGCAAAGGAATTTTAATCAAATTTCCTTTAGTGACCATGGAGTTACTACCAAGCTAGAGTAGACCTTAGGTTTCAGAACTTCTAGTCTCATTCTTTCACTCGTCTATCAGAACCTATTTTTACATTTTGAAAAGTCTTCTCTCTCTGTTGTATGCTGGGTACTTTCTTCAGTTGTATTTTCCACTTCACTAATTCTCTCTTAAGCTCTGTCTAACCTGCTATTTAACCTAATTATTGAGCTTTAAAAGTGTTTTTAAAACAAGTGTAAAATATAATGAACATATAGAGCAGAAATAAATGTATAATGAAGAATTACGTGGCAAACACACATGTATCATCTCCCAAGTCAAGAAGAAAAACAAGTACCCCAGAAAGCTGTGTGCCCTTTCTCAGTCATACTTCTCTTCCATTCCTTAGAATGCTTGCTAGACTTTTATAGTAATCATTTCTTTGTTTTCTGCTTTTACAACTTACGTATATAGATTTACACAATATAGTTTGTCAGCTTTACAACAAGTGGAATTGTACTGATATATTCTTTTCTGTCTTAGTTCTTTTGCTCAAGGTTGTGTTCATAAGATTCATTGAATCTGTTGCTTGTAGCTCTGGTTTATTCATTTTCATTCCTGTATAGTCACAATTTTAGTAGTCGGTAGTCACAAGTATCTAGTAGTTGCAATATCGTGAACTTCAGTTCTAATGGTATATACCTATGAGTGGAGTTGTTGGGTCATGGTGCATGCATATCTTTGACTTTAAAGAACAATGTCAAGGTGCTGGTCAAAGGGGTTGTACAAATTTACACTCCCATTAGCAATTTATGAGACATTTATTCATTGAATTTTAACTTCCAATATTTCTACTTTTAATTTCTAAAATATATGTATCTTTAGATTCTTTTTCAAGTCAGTCTTTTTATTTTTGTTAGTCTGTTACTAGCTCATTTGTGTGGTTTTATCTTTTGTATTTACATTTTTATAAATATTCATTTTATACTCTGTGTCTGATAATTCCTGTATCTGAAATCATTAGGACTCTTCATCTGTTGCTTGTTGTTTCTGCTTACTCTTAATCATGGTTGCTTATGTCATTGTTTTTTAAATAATGTATTTAATTATTAATAATGTATTAATTTATAATAGTAAATAATATTTTATAGTAAATATTTTCTATATTTGATCTGACAGTCACCTGCCACCAACTTTCCTATAAACTACTTATGCTCTATTGTGTTTTCTTGGGAGGTGTGAGAGGATAAAAATCATGCATATCGGATTAGAGTTGACAAATCCTGAGTTGTAATTATTCCTTGTGTAAGGAATTTCTCAAATTCCTTACCATGAACAAATGCTTTTAAAACCATGAAACAATGTTAAAACAACCATGGAACCAGAATATTTGCCAACCATATACAAAGTCAATTAGTAAAATTCTATTGTATATTATGAGGTAGGATTTTAAGTCACGTTAGGAGGCTGCTTGTTGAAGATTATCAATTATTGAAGGTATCCTCTTTTCTGTGATTTTCTGTTCCACACTGTGCATTAATCTATCAGTGCAGGAGCTTAAAGGGAATGCTTTTTCTCTAGAGATGATTTTTTAAATCTTGCTTTTATAAGCCAGGGTTTCTCGCACCTGAGACCACCTGAGCTTCCATCTAGGATGCCTGGCTTTAATGCTGGAGGCTTTTCTACTGCTACACACAGCCAGATCCTTTTTTATTAGAGTGGATATGGAGGAATGACTTTAGGTTAAGTATGAAATGGTTTATACCTAAGGAAAGGAGATCAAAATGCAAAGAAAATACCGGGGTGGAGAGGAGAGGATCAAAGAATCTAACTGGGAGTTAATTACACACGTTGGAGATAAAAATAGATCTTCAGGCCGACTTGGATGATTTCCCACTATGGCCACATTCTCTGGCATCTGGCCTCTTCAGTCAAGCATAAGACACGGGCAAGAATTTCCAGGAGGCTGTTTCTGTCCAAGTGCTCCATGTGACCGTAAGTACCGATCAAAGGCAACACCCTCAGGACGGCGCAGGTAGGTCCTCCAGGATTTTTGACATCCTGCGGGGAATGACGATCAAGTCATGCAGTTTGATACTAGAAGAAAAAAAGTGTGGCGGTGTGGTGGGAGTTGTAACTGTGTCAAACAGATGAATAAGTTTGGGGGTTTTAAAGAGTTTGGGTGTATCACGTAGTTTTTGCTAACCTCAGCATTTGGGGCAGGAGGTTGAATGGTCTTTGCTGTGATTCCCCTCGCTATTTTTCTGGAGGGTAAGATTTTCCTCTTATTTTAAAAGAAGGCATTTTGGCAATAAGAAAAGATTTCAGAGGGTGATTTGAAGCCTCCAAGCCGATGACTGAAGACGTTTTAAACGTCGGACACAGCAGCGAGTGTTTGCCTCGCGCGGGCTTTGGTGTGGTGGGGGACGGGGAGTGTCAGGAGACGGCCAGCTCCCCCAGCCCTGCCGCGTCTCCCCTCCGGGCGCGAGCGCGGGGGGCTGGGG